AAAAGGAAATACACAGTAAGAATCAATTCATGCATGGATATTTTAAAAAATTAGCTATGTGAGAACTTTCAAAAGCTAGCACATTGCAAGTTTGACTGTTTCTTTGATTCAGGTTAACTTTGCTCTCTTACCCCATCTAGCCACAGCATTCACACAAAACAGGATATCAGACACCACTGCTTGCTTCTGGACAGACCTCTGGTGCTGCCTGTGATAACAGCCTGAGGCAGAGGCAAGAAAACCTCTGCAGGTAACCTGCTTAACAGTTCTATGCTGGTCAAGGCTACATAGTGAAACAAACAAAACGACAAACCAACAAACCCAACCCAAATAAACAAAACCTTGTATGGTGTTTTTGAAGTGTCAAGAAAACCAAGTCGAATTCTGATAGTGTAAGGGAAATAATTCTATTTCTGTTTTACAAAGAAAGGAGGTACTGTGACTTGGGACAACCTTCAATTTGGAATGTCACTTCAGTCTGGGGAAGAAAGTAATGTCAAGAAAGGCATGTTTAAAGGCTAAGGCTTCCGAGATATGGTAATGACATCTTAACCCCCCATCCCCCCAAAAGCTGCATTTGAAAATCCATTTTAGTAGGGTGGTAATAGCCAAGCTGAATTTGAAAATCAGTTTTAGTGGGGTGGCACTCTCCGAACTAGACAGCGTTAAGAAACGGAAAACAAGGCGTAAAGAAATAAAGTCAATAGCTAAAGTCAGAGACCACTCAGTTTCGAGGCGTTCAGAAGAGAGCTGAAAAAAATGGGTAAGACCAAAAATCTGTGATTGCCAAAGAACAACTGTCAAAAAATAAAGGTGGTAGGCTGATTTCCACTTCTCATAGGATTTCCAAGAGGCTATTAGAACTGGTCTTACAAGGGAGGGGCGCAGGGAAACACCGTGTGCCGAGTCCCTGCAACGGTGGCAAAAAAAGGCTCCTCTCGCATGTCCGACCCTTCTTGCCAAGAGGGCAACACGGATACCACCGCGTCTCGGGCGGACCCCGGAGCTGTCTAGAGCCGCAGGCCCCGCAGGCACTCACCCCACAGCCACACGGCGCCAGCGCCGGGCGGGCTGCACGATGAGAGCGTCCCAGGCGGCTGCCAGCCGGCCCTCGGGGGAAAGCGGTCCCGGAGGCAGGGGCGCGGGCCCCAGCCGCAGCGAGCTCCAGAGCGAGCGCAGCACAGAGCCTGGCAGCTCCGGCTCCAGCAAGAACACGCAGCCCACCGCCAGAGCCAGGAAGCCGGCGCACGCAGAGCCGCGCCAATGCGCCATGGGGACCAAGCGCCGCGCTAGCGGCGTCAAGAACCTTTCCCAGTGCGCGCCTCTTCCTGGCTGGGAGCGCTCTGATGTCGACGTGCGCTGACGTAATATCCGTGCGCTACGGCCCCTCCCTGATGTACGGGCCCACGTAGATGGGCGTTCCGTGGGCGGGGCTATAGCCGGCGGTGGGCGGGTTTTCTCAGTCCATATCCTGGCGGTGGGCGGCGCTGTTGTGCGGTCCTGAAGCTGGTTGAACAAAGGCTGTAGTGCGGTCCCAGGTCCTGCACGTCTTCCCAAAGCTCCATCTGAACCTCAAGGTAGAGTGGCGGGAATAATATTTGCTTCCCCAGTGAACAAAATGGGCAGAATAAAGAAGCAGGAAACTTCGCGATAATATGTGAGCCAGTCGGCCTTCCCGTGACACGAACCACGCCGCCCGCTTTTAATCCGTCCTTCTGCCCCCGTTCACCTTCCCGAGTTTAATAACCCATCCTCTACCTGGTCGGGTGCTGGGCGCCCCCGGGAGGACTAAACTAGCTAAGATGGCTGCAGCGCTGGACGCACTCCTGAGGCAGGGGGATTCGCCTCTTTGAAATGTGGGTGAGACCCTCAGCCACTCGGGATTTTCGCGGAGACTGAAATGAGCCCCTAAGAGGTCTTCCCATGTAGAAGATCAGATGCAAGGCTTAAACACTTAAGAAAACCGTTTTGGGAATGCTGTTCTTTTTAACCCCAGAAAAATGTACAGATGCGTGCAATCTTGTGTATAACACAGAAGGGCTATGATACTAAGAAACCCTGCTTCACCCTGCCTCAGAAACCCTGCTTCACCCTGCCTCACCTTGGTGAGGTTGCTTAAACCCAGCCCTGTCTTCCTTGCTGTGACGCTCCTCTGTGGGAGTCAATGTTAAGTGACAGGGAAAGCTGGCTTGATGCCTGGCTCATACCAGCTTCATCTTGTATCCTGGCCTGTTTCTATTTTTCCAGTTCTGCTGGCTCCAGATCTTGGCTCTGTGTTCAGTTGTCTACTCTGCCTATGACCTTTGGACTTGGTAGTGAAAGTTTATCTCCCTAGCTTTGATCTTGAGCATTCATCTTAATTCTCTTTGTCACACCAGATCTTCCTCATCTTGGTCACCTATCTTTCACCAGTTCGCCCCACCCAGCCCACCTGACCATTCCATTCTTTCCGAGGAGAGGTTCGCACAGGAAGAGATTTGGGCTATTTTGGGTAAGAAAATCCAAAGAGCCCATGAGATTTGTGTGGTTCTATGAAAGCTATCTTCCTAGAGTTACCCATCTTTTCTTTCTCCAGGGGGCCATGTCAGTCTGTTCCCAGAGAAACTGTTCCTCTCATAATCCTCAGTTGTCAAATTACTCTACCACCTGTAGTGACTGAGTCAGCATTTGATTCCCAAACAGCAGATCCATAGACTGGGCAGAGATTTTACAGAGGTTTATCTATTTGTTGAGATAGGGTCTTTTGTATACCAGGCTAGCCTCAAACTTGCTATATAGTCAAAGATGACCTTGAATTTCTTGATCCTCCTGCCTCCATCTCATCAATGTTGGGATTACAGGTATGTACCACTGTTCCTGGTTGGGAAGATCTCGAAGGCTTGTGCATGCTAGGCAAGCACTCTACCAACGAAGTAGCATCCCTAACCCCTATTTACTGAGAATCTGAACCAGTAACCAGGTGTTTGTAATTATTTGGCTTGGGTGTTAGACTAGCAAAGTCATATGTGGTTGAAGGTCCAAAGCTCATTAAATAAGTTCTCAAGATCAACTTTGGGAGGAGCAGAGGTAGATGAACTGTGAGAAAGCCACTAAACACAAAGGCTAGGATGACTAGAGGAAGAGCCCATAGCAATGTGGAGCTCCCTGGAACTGCTGCTACATTTCCAGGACTTTGTACCTAATTCTTCTACCTCCAGGCTTGCCAGAACTTTTGTCTGGTTTGCTTTTGTTTTTGAAGCCAGGGTCTCTCTACACAGCCCAGGCTGGTCTCAAACTTGAGGTCCTCCTGCCTTGGCCTCCCAAATGTTGGGATTACAGGTATGTGACATTGTGCTGTCTTGCAAGAACTTTTATTGTTTACTGTCAGAGGCTAAACAACTGGAATAAAATGGAAATTTCTTGTGTAAAAGTACAGATGTAACATGAATGGACATTGTGGGCTTGGTAGCAAGGTGGGCCTCATCTGGCTGTTATGGGGAGGTGTGCTCTGGACCCATCTTGATCAGGTCAGTCAGTGTGGGTTTGTATTGGGACAGACAAGAAGTCAGGAGCTACAGGAGATGAAGGACAGACCACCACCAGCAGCTGGTGGAGGAAGTATGACTTCTAGCCATAATCACAATCATAGTAGCCTTGAGTCCTTCCTCTTTATTAGGGCTCAGGGACTGGCATTCCGTTCTCTGGTACTACAATCCCTCTTGAAATATTTTTTTAATGAATAATAGTCATTTCAGATTCAAATTATATGTTTGGCATCTGGAATGTTTTGCAAGCCAGCTGTTTTTCTAGAAGTTAGATTTCTGGGGACGATTATACAAAACAAACCCGAGTGGGCAGCCGAGGCTCTGTTGCCTCAGTTGAAGAAAAAGGGGGAAGAGAGTGCTTTACTACTCCTCCTCCCCAGCTCAAATTACTTCCAGATATGGCCTTTGTTATTGGTTCTCTCTCTTAGGACCTTAAAATGAGAGGGATGGAAAAAAAGCATTTTCATTCCAGAAAATTCAGAGACCAATGGAGGCTCCAGGCGTCGCACCCAAGACCTTGATCTGGAAGACCAGAGAGCACATCCAAGATTTAAATAGGAATTGGTAGAGTCCTGTCAGAACATCAGTCAATATCACCCACATGATCTGAAAGGTTGGGGTGAGTCTGTTCTCACACTGGTGCAGAAACTAAAGGGAGACTAAATGGTTCTTATGTTGGCTGGTATCCTGGTTACTTTTCTGTTACTGTGATAAACACCATGACCAAAAGCAGCTTGGCAAGGAAGGGGTTTATTTGGCTTACAAGTTGCAGTCCATCAAGGGAAGCCAAGGCAGGAACTTAAGCAGGGCAGGAACTGAAGCAGAGACCATGGAAGAACAGTGCTTGCTAGCTTGCTCTTGTGTTTAGCCTGCTTTCTTTCTCTCTTTTTTAAAAAAATATTTTATTATTTTATGTGTATGAGTGTATTGCCTGCATGTATGTGAGTGCACCCATGTTGTGCAATGCCGTGGAGGTCAGAAGAGGGCTTCAGAATCCCCTGGAACGGGAGTTAAGGACGGCTCATAGCCACCATGTGGGTGCTGGGAATCAAACCAAGGTCATCTGTAAGAGCAGTCTGTGCTCTTAACCGCTGAGCCATCTCTCCAGCCCCCAGCCTTTCTTTCTTTCTTTCTTTCTTTCTTTCTTTCTTTCTTTTTCTTTCTTTCTTTCTTTCTTTCTTTCTTTCTTTCTTTCTTTTAATATTTCTTTATTATTTTTATTTTATGTATATGAGTACATTGCTTGCATGTATGTGAGTGCACCCATGTTGTGCAATGCCATGGAGGTCAGAAGAGGGCTTCGGATTCCCCGGGAACTGGAGTTAAGGACAGTTCGTAGCTGCCATGTGGGTGCTGGGAATTGAACCCCGGTCCTCTGCAAGGTCAGTGCTCTTAACCGCTGAGCCATCTCTCCGGACCCCATATACCAGTAACTTTTGAAGTTTATTACAAAGCAAAAGCTACCTGATACCCTTCCCAAGGGTGTTTGCACTGGCTCATCTGTGCTTGATCTTTACCAGCTGACTGCCCTCCAGTATTCACATCTTTTCTCAAGTGCTACCTGCTCCAAAAGGTCTTCCCTGAGCAACCAATATAACACAGTCCTCTTATGGGTGTCTCTCTTCTCCCCACCTTATTTTCTGGCTAGTCTTATCAATATCAGACCCTTTCTTCATTTGTTCGTTCATTTATTTGAATCTGAATTCCGTGGGAACAGGGAGCATGTTCCAGTTAGCAACATTAGTGCCTGACATTCAATAAGTAATTGTTGATAATCAAATTAAGAATCCTCCAAGGGGGCTGAAGAGATGGCTCAGCGATTAAGAACACTGGTTGTTCTGGCAGAAGACCCAGGTTCGAATCCCAGCACCCATATGGCAGCTAACAACTGTCCATAACTCCAGTTCCAGGGGATCCAACAGCCTCTTCTGACCTCCACGGGCATTGCACGACATGGGTGCACTTACTTACATGCAGGCAATACATGCATGTACATAAAATAAAAATAATAAATATTTTAAAAAAAGAATCCTCCAATATGGGTTGATGAGATGGTTCGGTGTATAAAACACTTACTGTGCAAGCCTAAGGACCTGAGTTTGATCCTGGGACCCCACCTTAAAGAGTCCTCCAGCAATCACATAGTATTTGCTCTCTCTGTTATATAGATGAGAAGCTGGTTAAAAAAAAAAAATCTTAAAAAAAAAAGCAACTTGCTCCAAACTACCCAGTTTACGGTAGTGGTCCTAGGATAGAGTTCTGGGATTGAATCTCAGATCCCCAAAGACTCCCCACACTTTGTTTTTAACATCTGGCAATGGAGGCAGGGCAGAAGCCAGTTCTGGCTAGAAGCTTCCTATGGTAATGGTTCTTTTTGTTTGTTTGTTTGTTTGTTTGTTTGTTTTGAGACAGGGTCTCCCTGTAGCCCCAGCTGTCCTGAAACTCACTATATAAAACAGGCTGGCCTTGAACTCACAGAGATCTGCCTGCCTCTGCCTCTTGAGTGCTGGGATTAAAGGCATGAGCCACCACGCTGGGCAGTGGTTCTTTTTTTAAAAATAATTTTTTATGGGGCTGGAGAGATGGCTCAGCGGTTAAGAACACTGACTGCTCTTACAGGGGACCCAAGTTCGAATCCCAGCACCCACATGGTGGCTACAAACTGTCTATAACTCCAGTTCCAAGGGAATCCAATGTCCTCTTCTGACCTCCGTGGCATTGCATGACACGGATACACTCACATACACGCAGGCAATACACTCATACACATAAAATAAAAATAATAAAATAAATTTATTTTATGCATGTGAGTGTATTGCCTGCGT